GGACAACTAACTGAAAGGTTGACTGAATGACTGACAAACAAGCTGATTGACTGACTGACTTAGGCTGACTGATATGTTAACTAAGAGTTAGCCCAATTACTGACTAACTTCAAACTCACACTCATAAAAAAAGAAATGAAAACTTACATCTCGTTCAAGGATATGATCTATATCATTGTTCATACGCCATTCCCTTGTCTGAATATATTGGCTGCCAAAAAAATAGAGAACACTCTCATTTCAACACACAATAACTATTACTTCACAACAATTTAATAGAATATCTTAAAAAAAGATTTCACTCAGTTTGAATGTGAAGAAAGGTGATTTGTGTCAAAAATTAATCCAGTGAAAGTTTCTGTAAGTTGTCTTGATTCAAAAATTCCCCCTAAGCCATTCTCAGGAGGCTTTGAACATCTAAACACTTACCACAAACCTAAATCTTCAGAGTTTTTGAGAATTATGGCTCAAGTGCAGGTATTTTTCGAGGAAATGTCAACCTACATTTGAGTTGTACTTTACAATGTAACTATAAAATTAGAAGGAAGCCTTACTTGTAGGCAGCCTTTGTGTCAAAACTGCGTGCCCGTAAAAATCTCAGCATAGTTGCCTAAAACAAATGTATCAAACAGTCCATTTTACAGTTGTGTGCTTGGTTACCAAGCCTTTGAATGGGAGTGAGGCTGAGGGTGACCTTGTTATGATACAAACCTTGCTGTCTTTCAAATGTAAATCACTTTGTTATCATGCTAACTAGATACAGGTCTCTATCATGACGAGGTCACCTTCAGCCTCACTCCAAATCAAAGGCTTGGCAACTAAGTACACAACTGTAAAATGGCCTATTCCTGTTATATACCTTTGATATCTAAAAGTGATTAGCATTTATAGTAATTTCTCCTAACAATAACATATCTGAACCAGACATTGAGGTCAGGAGAAGACAGGAAATGATCACCAACTAAAGAAGCTCTTGATTGGTAAACAAATTCTCCTTATCAGCACCTTAGGAAATGTATAGAGAACAGTATGGAGAATATGCATACTGAAGTTAGGGTGTAATAAGGTTGACGATGGGAAACTGAGAATACCATGACCAGATTTCATGTCCTTGCTGGCTAAGACATGCAGATAACCTGAAAAATCGCGCACAACAAAAGAACTCTCTAAAAAATCACAAATTGGCAAATGACCAGCAAATTTTCTAGCTTTGTAGATGACAGTTTGAGTTTAAATATGAAAAGCAACATCCATTTATACTATGAAGGAACACAGTCAAAAAAGACCAGTTCTTTTGTAGTTTAGGAATATACAAATGATGTATGTGTAAACAATTTCAACAGCTTTACTAGGAAAATATCTCTGAATTTAAAATAATTACTGCAAATCATTCATTAGCTTTGGAAAGTTGACAGCAAGTTTGTAATTAAACAGTTTTTTTTAGTGTATTTTTACAAAAATTATAAGCAAAAATTGCAACCACAATATAATGAATAAGAATATTGTTCTTCAGGTTAGGTAATGTGAAATTCTGCACAAAAAAATTCCAGAACTCATCACAATCTTTACTGTGTCTAGCTAATTAATAGCTGTGAATTTCTAACAATTATTCTTGAAATTAGAAAACTTTTGAACATTTTCAACAATAGAACAATACTAATTAGAGGCACAAGCTGATTTAATTTTGATGAAAATAGTTTTGGTTCTCTTTGTTTTTGCTTTCTAAATATCAGTATGGCAAAGAAACTAACTGCAAATCAACAGTTAATTACACCTTACATTTAGATCTAAGAAAATACTTTACCCTAACTTGACAAATGTAGATTTTGTCCCGCTAAAATAATTTGTACATATTCTGATACCAGAGAATTTCATAATTTACACTTTGAAACAATGACTGTCACAGAGGTTTTGTAAAAGAGCCTCTGTTATTTAAATAATGAATATTCCAGGTTTGCATAATTTCATAAGGCAAGACAAGTTACACGTAAGCATTCATCTTAAAGAAACTACTCAAAACCATACAAGTTCAAAAGGACAAAAACGATAATTTTTGTCAATATTTCACTACTATAAATCAGATCATATATTTTTAATTAAATTTATTTATAATTTACATACTTTTGAGGCAGGAAGAAAATACTTCTATGTAGTAATGCTGAACGTTACAACCAACTACAATTAAATAATGTATTTTTCGCAAACGTGTCCCTTCGCTTTGTTTGATAATTATTTACAATTATTACAGCTTATTGAGAAGCAAGCTTTAATACCTGCAGAGTGCAAATTATCGGACCTTCTTAAAACCGAAAGATTTTATAGAAGTTGTTAAAACATCAAGTTGCATCCTAAATTAAATGTTTACTTTCCGTCATCATTGATATAAATTTAAAAATTTCACGTAAAATCTATACGTAATCCATACCTTTCTATTATTGCGAAGGGGGATTAAGAAAAACGTGCCAACTACCTAGCGATCTATAAATATACTGCAGTTATCAACAACACGTACGGAGATATCGAGCTTCAATGACTGAAACAGAACTGATTTGTATATATCGATCGTATAAAGTTAGTGATTAAAATCCGTTGATTAATACATTCAGTAGTTTCTTATTTGGGAAGCTAAATTCTACTCAGTAATTTTCATCGACCTTTAAAAACATACCACAGCGACACGATTTTGCGTCAAAGAATGAACTCAAAGCGGAAATTGTGTTTATTTCAACAGTTCATTTCCACATCATTTATAACAAAATCGTCTTCCCTTCCATGTTAAAAACGAATTGTAAATATGAGCATGAGATTAATTTAACATCTATTACGTCGGTCGCATCGTGATGTAAACACCCAAGCGCAATCGGATGTGAGCCTCCAAACAATTTGTTAGGTAACACCTCTACGCAAGATAGCTTTGGGTAGCTTCCACACGCCGCGCGTAGGTACTACATTGGTAGTAAATTAAACGGATCCAAGATTACATTGAAATCTCGATCCCTACCAGTCATAGTTTACCTTACCTCATCAGTTATTGCCTCTGTTGTTAACATTCCTTTAAATTCCTCAAGGCACTTCTGTTGAGAGGCAGAGAGATCGCCCAGATACCCACTCATTGCTACGTGAGTGGGTTTGCCCCAATTTTCTTCAGGTAGCCGTTTTGAAATTCGCGTAAAAAGGCAAATTATGCCTTCTTTGGAAAATTAAACCATTAATTATGACGGGTGGCCTTCCGATGGCCTACGTTATTTGCTCTCGCCAACCTCTAGCCGAGTGGCAATCCTTTGTGAATAATTTATCAAGCCTCCGATTTCTGGAGAAAGGCTAACGCGTTTGTTTTGTTCATCGAGGCAAGCACAAATCTTATCCCGCGCATTTTCCACGCAAACTAAGGAGAATTCGCTAACTTGTAACAACTCTCCACGAGTCGCTACAATAAAGTTAAGACAGAAATATACTTATAAACTACATTAAGAGACATAAAAATGGTGTTTGGAGTTGGGTTGTTAGTTTTTGTTGACATAAAATCGGAAAATGGGAAGTCAAGGGAGATTTGTGCGCTGATCAAAGCTAAAAGTCTCTTAACGTTTAATGGCGGAACAGACCAATAGTGGAACACGTGGCAGACCGTCAGTTTCCCGGATGTACCAACACTTGATCGCTCTGCCGCGAGCGTTGGATGTGAAAGGCGACGGAGTTGCTGATGTTATTGCAGTTGTGTAGGCCGTTTTTCGTAATGGATTTAAGTGTGGCGCTGCGGTTTCGTTGTAGAAAGGAGAAAAGAATTAAATAATTCGCATCTTGTGGAAATTTGTCGACGCCAAGGGAAAGATCGTGGAGAAAACATTCACTTTGCAGGACCGTCAGAGACTTAGCTTGCATTGTTTGCAAAGCACACTTTCTCGCCTTTCATTTCTATTCAGGGGTGGTATTTTAAAAATATTCGCGAGACATGAGTACTGAGGAAAGATCCGATAATTCTGGTCATACAGATGATAGTGGGTAAGTAAACGAGTGAGCAAAAATTCTCAGAAACAAAGTTTAAGTCTTCTTTGGGTGAAAAATCGCAAAGCTTTTAAACTATTATGGTGTATAGGCTTACATGGTGAGCGTAGTATAATCGCTTGAGCGTGTTTTGGATTCTAAATACATATCTGCGACATCTAAAAGAGTAAAATCGATAAATTATTTTTTCAGGTCTTATTGCGATGAAATCGAGTATTATTGTGCTATTTTGTAGCGAGTTTCATACCGTGGCAGGTTGCAATCTGTGTTGATTTCCCTGAGGGAGTCTACATTTAGGTCCGCCTTGACCCCATGTTAAATCCGATGAGTTCTGTTTTCTTATTTGCATTTCTTTTCGCAAGAATGTCTCAGGAAGACTACAGTTACGTTGAATTGCTAGCTGTTACCCTTTACAAAACTTTGAAATATTTTATGCATGATTTTAAAGGAGAAAATCAATCTTGCAGCCCACTTCGACCGTCGAGACACTAGAATTGCCGGAGCGGAAGGAAGGAGCCAACCGAACTTGGCCTTTAAATCTGACCAGAGAATTTCCGTAGCCTCTGATTTTTATACGAATCGTCATACACACATGCGTTTTGAGGTTTATTTTAAACCACACGTGAACAAACAACCAATGTGTTAATTCATTTAAACAGAACTAGCATGCAAATCTGCCATCGCTGTAACTGAAGTTGTGAAATCTTCAGTTTCGTGGTTGGTTTTGGGGGAGGGGGTATTTGGGCAAATCTATTGAGTAAAAGCTGGATCGGATTGTACATGCTATTCACTGAAATTTTAATCTAACAGTCAAACTTAATACAACAGTATTTACTCACAATACACAAACATTTTAACGATTAAATCACTGATCATGTCTACCATCGTAAAATGTTGGCAGATCCTCACAGGGTAGGGGGTAGGTGTGGAGATGGTTTTCTCTATGTTTCCTAGTAAAATACTATCAGTTTCTTGGAAAATCCTTTATGACATTTACTGCTTAGCATATCTGAGAGGGGAAGTATCTTGCGAAAACCTTGCAGTGATATCTCTGCTAGAAATCATGATACTGCCCCTTTTCTTGAGATTCTTAAACAGCATAGTCCTTAAATGTGACAAACCTCTTACTCTTGGATGCTGCCATGTTGAATCTTTGTTGGCAACCTAACCACTTATCCAATTACCATTATTTAATCAATTGTCCCAGAGGCTAGTTTGAGGAGGTACAGTTTGTATTCATTTGCAAAGTTACGGGAAAAAGGCCTCACGAGAAATTTTGATTCATCCAAAAAGTAAGGCATGTAGAAGTAACTCTGTCCTTTGCTTCTGTTTGTTAAATCGAGATTCAAATTTTGTTGGCACAGTAAGTAGTCCTGTCTGGATGTAAATACATTGTCTTTGGTTGCATTGTTCTAGAAATTATAAATATCTGTCCCATGTGATTATTTTCAGTTTGAACTACTAAAACTGGTGGTGAGATATGTCATTAACGTCTGAAAATGTTTTTGCTCTTCTTTCAGGTCTGACAGCGAAGAAGATGTGAGTGATTTTTTTTTTGCACCTGGTTACCAATGTAATAAGGCATTTTGATTGGTATTTTCTTAAGATCTATTGGAGGACAGAGCCCTATGAGACAACCATTAACAAAATTTTGCTTTGGTATTATAGAAAACAAATAGATTCAGTGTTGCTGTGGGTCTGTAATGTAATGGATCACAGATGACATCAAAGTGTGCTAGGAACAATAGTGACACACAGGACTGTGCCTTATGTGTTAACATTTGTTTTCTCACGTACATTCTGTATTTTAACATCATCTGTAATCTGTTACTGTTCAGATGTATGGCAATGTTGAATCTGTTAATTGTTTAGCTGTCACTTTATGTTTGAAGCAGCAACTGTTTACAGCAGGTCTTGAAGTTCATAGATCCTCCTCAAATTTTCCATTTGTAACATTTAAAAATTAATACCAATTAATACTGTTACTTTCCCAGGTGTCTGGGGAGCATGTCATTTCTTCGACGGAGGAATGTCAACCACCTTACTATGAGCATATTGAAGAGAATGAGTACTTATTTGACAGGTGGGTTGTATGTTTAATTTTTATATCCAGTTTTTAATTATTTCATCATGCAAAAGAGTTGTGGTTTCTACCCTTCAAACAACTTGTTAGTATGTTTTTTATATAATTTATTATTTCAGAAAGAAGAAAGTAAACAAGGAAGTACGCAGAATGCAGTGTGATTGTACCTTAGATTCAGGTAAGATGTGGTTTTGACACACAGACTTCACTTGGTGCAGAATGTGGTTACACGTACAGGGCTCGACACTTACTTTTCAATTTACTAGCCAAGAGGCTAGTGACATCTTCGATGTTTTTAGATGGTATGACGATTTCAGTCTGTTTACTAGCCCAACTGGCTAGTGGAAATTCAAAACCATTAGCCAAAGCTGAATTTCTACTAGTCTGTGGCTAGTGGCCTACCGTTAGTGTTGAGGCCTGATGTATGTGCATTCTACATGAACATAAGCCATTGTTAACCCTAAACTCCCAAGATCTGATTGTTAATTCTCCCCTCTCACTGCTACACATTTTCCTCTGTGTATAGTTGCTCATCTGATCTGTCATTGAACAGACATAGGGCAACATGTTGAGTGTTGAACACTACTACAACATGGAATGTTTTTGTTGAACTTATTACACTATTTTTTTTTACAGATGATCCAAGTTCTAGTGGTTGTGGCGAGGACTGCCTCAACAGATTGTTGATGATAGAATGGTTTGTGTTCATTTCTACTCTTCTTGGTCTATTTTGTCAAAAATTGTCCTTCTTACATTTTCCGCATTTTATCTCCAAACAGTAACAGCAGATGTGCTTGCGGAGAGATGTGTAGCAACAAACGTTTTCAACAGGTTAGTGAAACTACCATTGCAGCTTCAAGAATAATATTATTGAAAGGGTAAGGTTTATCCATTGAGGCAACTGACTGTTTAACCTTTTGCTCTTTAGACTGACCAAAGAAGAGTTTCTCCTTTCAAAATCTATACATTCTCAAACATCAAGGTTACGAGAAGAAAGAATAATCACAAAAGGATATTGATTGATTTGTGACCAAATTCTCAAAGCTTTAATTATATAAACTGTACAGCAAACATTTGGGAGAGTTGATATTTTTATTATAGAGTGATTTAGTTAACCCTTTGGCTGGCAGGTTACTGGGGACTCTGTATTTTTCTATGATGTAAGCTGACAAATCAGGCCACAGCTCATCACATTTTAAGTTCAACCCCAACAAACTATATATCATTTTAATCAGCAGAAAATTTATCATCATTTTAAGACTATTTTGTTACATAGGGGTCCTTGTGCACATAATTTGGGGCAAGAAAAGCCAAGCATAACAAAATGTGTGAAGAGTATGTTGTTTTTCCTGCTCTACTAAGACAAGGCATCAACGTACTTGTGACCATAACTTTTGTATTATGCAAAAGTGTATTATTTCAGGAACCAAACACTTTTTATTCCATCCAATTATCTTGATTTCAACCAAAGTTATGCCTTTTACTGTTCATCAAGGTGTGGCTGAGCAATTTTCAAAATTTTGAGGATATGTGATATTGCAGAACTATACTTGAGTAACAAGTAGCTAGCTTCACTTGAAATCACCAAAATAGTAACCACAAAGGACACAAAAGAACCATAAATGGACAATAAGGTAAAAATGGTTCTGTTCTTATCAAAAAATTACAATCCATAGCAACCTTCAAGAGTGTAGGCACAGGAAAAAATGCAGTATGAAATACTTGACATACATTCAAAGTTACAGTTCACAAGTGTAAATAGTCATGGTCCTTTTCCCTCAAAAGAAAACTTCGTTAGGATCATCCTCTAACACAATTCACCGTGCTTCCTCGACTGAATCCATGCAGACGCGATTTTTAAAAGGATAGTATTGCGTGAACAAATTTTTTTCGTGAAAAACCGGTCAAATTTAGCTATAAACAGTGAGAAAAACGGCTACGAATGAAGGAACGTGACTTGACAAACCATAGTAATCTTTAAGAACTCAAAACAATAGTATCTGGGGGTCCCCTGAGGTTTTTATCATGGATAGGGTCAGAGGGTACGAATTCGTAGTTTGCCAGCGAAAGGGTTAAATGGCCTCTTATTATAAGCATGGGAACTGAGCTGGCCAGCTTGGTGGAATGAATTTTGTCCTCTGTTTATAAGGCAGAATCCATTTCAGGAACTATTCAGACAAGAAAATTCAGTTCATTTACTTAGTGTTATCCCAGCTATTGAACAGGAGTTTTTATGAGTAAAATTTTCTAGCCTGACACAGAGCTTGACAGTAATGGTAGCCAATTAGCCACAGACCATAGATATTCAGTTTTGGCAAGTGGTTTTGATATCCACAAGCCAGTTTGGCTATTAAACAAACTGAAATTGTCATAACATCTAGGATGTCACCAGCCACTTGGTTAGAAAGTTGAAAAGTTAGTGTCCAGCCCTGCTGACAACTGAGATCTGAGTTCCTGAAAGATCTTGATAATGCAAACTAGGCTTGTATGGCTTCTTGTATGTAATTATTACTTAACAAAAAGGAGTAATTATGTCTAATCTTGGAAAGTGAGTGAGCCAGGTAGGGTAGCCAACAAAGATAATGAGTTCATTGGCTTAACAACTCTCAAGATCTGATTGTTAACTCTCCCTGCTGACCATCTCCTAAATAAATTACAAGAATCTGGTGTTAGATCAAGACAAATGCTGACTAATGAGTTTGAGTATTCTCATTCTCTGTTTGCTTAATAGTTACCAATTATTCCACGAGCACACGTTGGATATGAGATGATAGATAGCCAACGAGGCGTGTAGCGCTGAGTTGGCTATAATCATCTCATATCCAGCAAGTGCGAGTGGAATAATTGTTTTGTTAAAAAAATGCCCTCAAGATATTAGACAAATCTTCTTGACTTTATTTTGTAAGAAGAAACCGGATGTTACAATGTACAGATATTAGATTATGGTATATTGGCTCATATACCATAATGGCTAAGCCAATAAAAAGTCTTGAATTRCATTATCCAATGATCCAGTTTTTAATGATATATAGATATAATAGGGAGAGGTAACATCTTTATCATGTCTGCGAGTTACATGTAATATGCTTTCATGAGAGATGATACATATATGCTGATATCAGCCCTGAGAGGATTTCAAATACATGTACATGTACAATCATTTTGCAGGGCTGTAAGGTGAAAGTTGAAGTGTTCAAAACAGAGAAGAAAGGCTGGGGATTAAGGACTCTTGAAGATCTGGAATCGTAAGTTTATTATTATTTTTTTTTTTACCACAAGTGGCAGTTATGTCAAAATCTGACTGACCAATTTGCTATTCTTAATAAGACACGTTACTTGGGTTAACGTGTCCTGCAACATGTTGTACACTGAAAGAATCATTTTATTTGAAGTTGATACTGGGAGAAAAATTTAAAATAAATTGAGAGTGGTTTAGTGAAGACTGCACTCTTGTTGACAATGGTATTCGTCATCAGAATGATTTGTTAAACATGTATCTTGGGGATAAAATACCTTATTGGTGCTGATAATTTTGTCAGTCTTAAATGTCTCATTTTTACATTCCTTTTTTTATTACTAATTACAAAATTGCTTCTACTGTTCAGGAATCAGTTTGTTATGGAGTACTGTGGAGAAGTCATGAACTACAAGGATTTCCAGGAGAGAGCAGAGCGTTATGACCGAGAGAACAGAAGACACTACTACTTCATGACTTTGAGAGCAGACGAGGTAAGGAGTGGAAATCGTAATATTTTTCTAAATAGAGACACTAACAGCACTTATGTGATGAGGTTTGGTAGATTTATGGGTTATTCAATAACTTTTCAATCCAAGGATTGATCAGGTAGCTTCTCTCAACAGTAATGACATCTTAAAAAAAAAAAAAGTGTGCAGGGTTTCCCAGAAGGGCTGCTGGCCTGTTAAGCTAGCAGGCTCCTTCATATGAGTTTGTCTCTTTTGCTGAATGAAGTGACAATGAGTGGTTGTATTGAAATAATCTAATTCATAATCCAGAGTGTAGGAAATGCAATCTCTGAGGCCCATTAATTAGCTTTTTTTGGAGGGAGGGGTGGAATGGGGGTAGGTTTGCCCTTAGACCCCTTTGAGTGGTCGGGCTCTGGTCGTAAGGTGTCCCTTCTCTGCTTAGAACCTCCTTACTATTATCTCTGATATTTATATAAAACCCTGCTAAATTGTTACACAATTGTCATGTGTGGAAAAAGAACACATTTTAATGGCATATACTCCAGCCAGTGTAATGGCACGAGCTCCAGCCCATTATCATTTTCAAGTTCTTTGTCAACCAAGTTATGAGGAACTCCATAGCCAGCCAGGTTGTTTACAAGATTCATATCTGACTTACATCTAGCATACTGCCTGGATAAGCAATGTTGAAATCATCTTCTATGGGAAATTTTAATGTACAGTAATTCCGCGAACAAGCCCCCATGCTCCAATGAGCACCTTTCCCTGAATAAGTGTCCATCCTGTTGGCCATAGTAGCAAACAAGTGCCCCTCACAAAATAAAAAACGCTACTCCCTTGGTCCTTTGCTTTCTTAAATAGCAAGGACACAAGGAAAATGTGTTTCTACCACCAGCAGAATCAGTTCATATATCTTATCAACCAAGTGCGAGGGCCGTACTGGGAGAATATTGGCCCCAGGTCTTGACAGTACGAACCGAGCACAGCGAGGTCCGTACAAAAGCTTGGTTAATAAGAGATTTATTATATGACTGAAGTTCAAAGGGATACAAGTGCGGTATCATTTGGGACCATTCGGGACGGTGCCCAGTCCAATACTGAGAGAATATTGACTGGCAATAGAGCATTTTGATTGGTTGATTTTAGTTATTGGCACTCTGACTGCCCGAGTCGTGTAATAAAGGAGAATAATAAGCACCCCTTTAATAGCAGAAATATTAGATATCCAACGAAATATGGTACATGAAGGTGGACAAATCACAGTATTTTATGGTTTTGTTACTTGATGAGTTATCAGTTTTTTTAATTCTCTCTTTGTTCAGTTAATTGATGCCACTTACAAGGGCAACTTGTCTCGGTTTATCAACCACAGTTGTGACTCAAACTGTGAAACTCAAAAGGTAATTTAGTTTTTCAGACCATTTTATCATTTTTTTATTATGATCGATAAAGTCAGCTTTTCACTTTGATTCCTAAAGTAACCTACAGTAGATTGATTGACAGGAAACTGAATGAAAACACATATACAGCTGTACTTAAACCCTTAAACCCAAGAGTGACTAGAATCTAATTTCTCCTTTCAGTATCACCCCTGAATTACTTAGTAAGGTTAAGAGAATGTAGGAAATGATCAGCAATTAAGGAAGCTCTTGATTGTCAAATATATCAAATATATTTGTCATATATATATGTCATATATATATGTCATATATGTCATACATGTCATATATGTCATACATGTCATATATGTCATACATGTCATATATGTCATACATGTCATATATATATGTCATATATATATGTCATATATATATGTATATTTGTCATATATATTTGTCAAATATATATGTCAAATATATTCTCCTTGTCAGTGCCTTAGGAAATGTATAGAGAACAGTATGGAGAATATGCATACTGACGTTAGGGTGGAAAGCGTTAAGATGAAAACTGCAAAGGGTTTTTCTTTTGCTTCTTCCAGTGGACTGTCCATGGCTTGTTGAGAATTGGATTTTTTACTCAGAGACCCATCCCAGCTGGTGCAGAGCTCACGTTTGATTACAAACTGCAGCGCTATGGGTAGGTGGACAAAGTACATCCTACTGTCAAAGGTTCATGTCAATAGGCAACACCAAACTGAGAGATCTCGAAATTATAAGAGTTATGTAGCATTCCCAAAGGTAATTAATCCCTTTTAAACTGGGGATGAGTGGTTTATGAAAACTGAATAATAATTTTTGTCATTTATCAGGAAAGTTGCTCAGATTTGCCATTGTGAAGCACCAAATTGTCGTGGATTTATTGGAGGAGACAAGCAAACACCTCTGAAGAATACTGTAGAAAGAATAGGTATGCAAAAATATCTTTAATTACGAATTAGCATGATCTACATTTTCTTGACCCTCTGACCTCTGAGAGTGACTATTAATAGCATCTACAATGTAATTTCTCTTTACAATATCACCCTTGAATCAAACATTTGAGGTAGAGAGAATAGAGAAAATGATCACCAACTACAGAAGCTGTTGCTTGTTACACAGATTGCCCTTGTCAGTACCTTACAGGGGGGTCAATACTAATGGTACTGTAGCCAACTAACCATAGACTATGTCTGATGCACGATCCTTACAGGGGGGTCAATACTAATGGTACTGTGGCCAACTAACCATAGACTACGTCTGATGCACGATCCTTACAGGGGGGTCAACACTTATGGTACTGTGGCCAACTAACCATAGACTACGTCTGATGCACGNGTTTGAAAGATGAGCTTTTGTTCAAGAGTTTTCTGGCTTTCCGTGCTACCTAAGTGTAAGGAAAGACCGCAGATTGCCATGTGTAACACTAATGGTAGCCAACTAGCCATAGACTAGAAGAAATCCAGTTTTGGTTAGTGGTTTTTGATTTGTACTAACCAGTTTGGCTAGTAAACGAACTAAAAATTGTCATAACATCTAAGATGTCACTAGCTACCTGGCTAGTAAGTTGAAAAGTTAATGTCAAGCCCTGCCTTAAAAATTATAGAGAGAACGGTTTGAAGAATATGCATACTGATATAGGGTTAGGATCACATGTTTTGTATCTTATTCGTGCTTTTCTTTTTCCTCTATTTAAGCAACCCCACCTATCACAAGCTCCCCAAGAAGGAGGCGTAAAAAGCAAACAAGGAACTTGACAAATGAGTTTGATGATATGACGGTGAGATGAATAATATATTTATTAATTTGTACTGTCATGGCAGCGTAGAAATAACTCTTTTGTAAAGTCTATCTTGGGGTTGGTCTTTAAATGGGGCTAGGTTGTTCAAAGCTAGGTTCAGGTAACATAGGACTAGTCAGCCTTCTCGAAACCGGCCAGTCGGCGGCTCAACAAGCCGCTTCCTTTCCGATCTTGGCCGTCTCTTTTCAGTCAAAAAATATAATTTTCAACGGCAACAAATAAAAAAGTAAACAAGAAAAACTAAACACAAACAGAGAAAATTGAAGTAAAGCCGCCTGAGTGCGTTTAGCTTGCGTGATCTGCTTAAATCTTATATAATAATTACACGACTTTTTTCCCTTTCAACACACCCAAAATGCACCAAATTGGATCTCCGAGCATCTAAATTTCCAAAATTTTCTGGGGAGCATGCCCCTGGACCCCCCTACAGGCTCGTGCCCACAGGGCACTCGAAGGGGTGCTGTTGGCAGCTCAACCCACTCCTCCAGTCCATTAATCTACTCCTTGAAATCTTTATGAGAAGGCTGCTAGTGTAAATTAATTTTGATTTGAGATCTTAAAGCTTGAAAAGAAAATCCAGCATAATATTTTTGTCTACATCGTTGTGATAGGATGCTCTAAAGAGAATACTAGATAAAATTATCCCAAACAGGCTTTTGAACTAAGGAATTATCTAGTAAAGAAACCATGATTGAAAGTTAATCTTGGTAAAAAGATATCAACCTAGGTGAAGAAATTTAACCTAGGTTGTTAACTGTAGGTTAAATAAAAAAATAACCTGGAATCAAATTTGACCTGTAACAGCTACAACCAGTTGCAAAAATGTTGAGACACTTGGAACAAAAAGTGCATTTACCGACTTCATCAGATGGAAGAAATTAAGTGTGAAGAAGCGATTCAATGTTGTCCATCAAAGTTTTATACATGGTACTGCTTAGCTACCAACATTGCAAAGGGAGGAGTGGAGGATACATGATATTGGATCAAATTATGAAAATTTAACCTAAGTTATTAACTGTAGGTTAAATAAAAAATAACTACATTTATGTTGGATCAAATTATGAACCATTATCTCTTATTGTGGTAACATGTTTTAGCTACTTTTGCAACTGGTTATAGCTTACATATATGTTCTCCTAGGTAATGTCTACATGGAAGTGAAGGGGAACTCCCCTTGGCTGCAAGTTGATATCCTTTATATGAATTTGCAATTGCACTTTGTTTTTCTGTCCAACAAAACTATAATAATTACAATCATCTTTAACCAAAACATGTTTTTCTCTAATTTTGTTTTTAGTTGGAAGATGAGGTTGAGAAACTTCTGGGGGAGCACAGAGGGTTAGTGCACAGTGACCAGGCCTTGAAGCTGTCAAGGCTGATGGTACAAGCAGAGACAATGGAACAGAGGATAATGCTGCTGAAAATCCTTCAGGTATTTTTTAGTTAGTTCCATGCTGTGCGTGTCCCTCATTGATTTTTATCTCAAAAGGCTGTGATGTCAAATACAATTTTAGCAAAGCCATGTAAGAGAATTGGTTTAACAATAAAAGCTTCCTAGGTTGGGGGAAGGAGAAAATACCTATTGATCACTCTTTGGGTTTAAAGGATGAAACGTACTCTATTTCCTGGAATAAGAACCTGGGCACTAATTAAAAATTTCAGAGGAGGCATTTCATAAAGGGGAGTGCATAAAAAGTTATAGATAAACCTTCTCAAAGCAGCTGTGTACAGAGAAAGGGATACAGTCATACAAACATTTTGTAGCTTATAGTTGTGGTTTTTTAATTATTATAGTTTTGGGCTGTTTGACTACAAGTTTGTATGATTGTTTTTCAGTTTGTTTTTGTTTGTTTTTTTTTATAGCACACCACAGACCAGTCATGTTTAAAAGGGTTTCTCAGGTATCAGGGGCTGTCTTTGCTTTGGAGCTGGATGGTGGATGGTGGAGGAAAGAAAACGAAACTTCAATTAGAGGTGATGATCAATATGTACTTTCTCTTATTAGATTTATCAAGTGCAGCTGTACATGAGAATTACAGAAGTGATCATGCAGGAAAATTGCTTAACATGAAAGCATATTTGCTACAGTAGTGTTGTAAGAATTGTACACACAACAAGAATTTGTTAGTGTTTCAACTATTAGCATGTACAATATACATGTACAATGATATTTGGTTTGTCCAAGATTCAAAGGAGAGATCAAAGGAGGAAAAATCTTTGAAGTCACAGATGCAAGATTGTAGAGTAATGTTCCTGAAGAGTATTTATGGAGTTATGTTTTTTGCTAATGATTATATATTTATCTCATTTATAGTGTCATTCAATTTTAATTGTTTTACAAACGCATTTTTTATACTAATTTTTGTCTAAGGCCATTATTTTTCAATTCATATTGTTATATGCACCCTCAGTAAATAAAGTTTATTATTATTACTTCAAGTAAAAACTAAACTGTTATTTTCAAATATTCTGATTTCTAGTTGCTAGAAACACTGAAATGCCTTCCTATTGCAACAAAGAACCAGCTCGAAGACAGCAAGGTAATAAAAGTGGTGAGAAAATGGGCGTCATCATTCTGTCCAACTGCCGAAGCGGGGTCCAGCAGTGGACAGGAGTCGCATGGCAACAGTCCGGCGGATTCAGAATGTACGGCAGGAACAGAAGATAATGATGAGGAAAGCCAGCAGCTATCAAAATCCATTGATGGAGACAAGAAAGCTATTGGTATCCCTGTGTCCCTATTTGAACGGCAAAGCTCTAATAAGGATCAATCAGATGATGAATCTTTGGATGCAGAAGTGGCCAGTTTTATTGTTGACAAGACTCTAGACAGCAGGGCCATGAAGAACAAACTGCTATCAGAGAACTTTGAGAAGTCTCCCGATGACCTTTCAGAAGATGACCTCAAGTTTGAGGACGAGCGATTGCCCGAAATCGGCATCGGGCTGATGGCGAATGAGCTGCTGAAAACATGGAGTTTGCTGAAGGTGATGACATTTTTGCTAACCAGATACTTTTCGGAACAAGAGATGTCCATAGTTCGTTAAGGGAGGAATGGAGGGAGATTGCAATACTAATTAATTGGTGTCTTTGACTTCATTTCCAAAAATAACAACTTTCTTTGTCTCTTATTTAAAACATCTTGCCAACCATGTACTCAAAGGAAAAAGGAAATGTTTATGCACACTAGTACACTAAAAATTTTTTGTCTGTCACCTAAAGGAGGGTGGAGCGGGGCTGCATTCTTACAGGCCAAGAGGCCCACGACTGCTTGTGCTTAATCCTGCTTGTTTGTACGTCAAATAACTAGGAGTAAGTTTATTTAGCCATCACAGGTTACCTCCCCGCATTTGCTCAAGTTTCCCTTATAACTTACCAGTCCCGTTTAAACTTTGGGTGAAGAAAAGGATTGTGGCAGTAATAGAAGTGTATCTCGCCCTTGAACACGACAACACAGCGGTCAAATGACGGGATGCGCGAAGGGATCAATTTTTGCCAGCCGTGCATCAATTTTCCGCGCAAAACGTCAATGGAAAACATAAGAAACACCCGCTGTCTCGCAAAATAAGCGAAAGAAAATTGGAACGTTATCAGCAATCTTTATCTACAAGGAAACAAAGAGAGGGAAATGGAAACCTTGAGAATTTTCGAACACAAAGCTCAATCAAAATACAGGTATCCTGTTGATTTGCCACTTTGTTTTTGAGCCTTACCAGAAATGTTATACCCCTTAAGAACAACGTGACTTGCTGGCTTGTGTGGTTGTTTGTAACTTGTGTGAGACAACCTTGCTCTGACAGCCTGAAAGCAAGCCATCTAGCTTTTAAAACGTTCGCGCATGTTCAGACGTTTGACTGCTGTATTGAACACGACAGAGCATCCTAAAGCTTGAACTCAGATCCCTTGAGCCAGAGTCTAACGGGCTATAACTAGGGTTATTTTTGGCTTGTGTTTGTTTATAGGAAGTTTACAGAATACCGAAGAAAACTGCAACTCCAGTAAGTATTGTTTAAGTGACACTGGCAACAATTGACATTTTTCCTTCCCGTTTCTTTTTTTTATGCATTTATTCTTTGTATTTTGTCTTTGCTTTTTTTTTCTTTTTCGAAAGTCTTCTCAAAAGGAGAGAGTAAAAGTCCCCTTTACAGATAAAAATGGTCTATTTTTAGTTAGCTAGAGTGTTGGTATCACATTGCACGGAAATGTTGCTGCCTTTAAGTTTTGCAATTTGGGAGAGGGTCTCACTGGTTGTTGGTGTTGTTGATGTTTAACATTCGATTGCATGATCGTCTTATCCTCTTTGTTCAGGCCAAGCAAGACCGTGTTACTGAGTTGTTAGTCGCAGCCAGCCCAGCAGGTAAATTTTATCATAAACTTGATTGTTCGGTTTTTGACCATGGAACCCTGATAAAGTTGGACATTTTCTTCGAAGAGTGAATTTTATTTAAGCCATGTGTGTGTGACAATTTTTTTCTTAGATGTAATTTGTCGTGTCACGAGCTCGGGACAAAGGAAAAGCTTATTTCTCATGAGGATTTAAACCTCAGACCTTTCATTTGCATTGTCATGCCCATCACGAAACCTCTGATCTTTGTTCAAAATAATAGTGTAATTGAGAAATTGATTGTAACACGAGATTGATTTGGCTGATTTGATTTTTCTTTTGCAGGAAGTGGTGACGGTGATCATGCCAGGTAAGAAAAGATTTTTAAAAAAGTAAACATTTATTATAAAAAGAACAGGTTTGCAGAATTTCTGAATTGAAAGGATGAATTTTGATACTTTCCGGGCTTGGAGATAATGGTTTTCCATTGTTAGTGCGTTTTTCAATTGAGTGTCGTTCAACCAAAACCAAAGTAATCGCAACGGCCAATCAGAAGAAAGGAAAAAATTCCGAATAGCCAATCAGAACTCAGAATAAAAACAAGCAAACCGCCTAATCGCAGGCGACCAAGTCGTGATTGAATTTAGTTTTGCATCTGATTGGTTGAAACAATGACGCGAGTTGTTGGGACCAATCCCAGCGGAGTAAGGCAAAACTAATGCAATCCCGGGTTACTTTCGACATATAGTTGAAAGTTTCTGTATTGATGGTATTTGAATCTCTGATTTGATCTGCGATTGTATTCTTGTAGGACTCCTATTGAGAATATCGGTTCTCCAGGAAAATTAGATGCCATCATGAAGAGTTTGCAGGACTCCCCCAAACCCCTGTATCCTTCTGAATCCAGAACTCCGCCCGTTTCTCAAGGATTTTCTACCTTTAGTGAAGACACTGAAATGCTGCAAGACTCTTCTAGTGCTACCCCTCCGTCCAAAACTGGCGACTTCAGTGCTTTGGAATTCGGAGAAGACGTGGATACTCAAGGGGATTCAACTCCTGATAAAGGAGAAGGAGCTCAACCAAGTTCACAGGTGTCGGATTCTGTTGAAGTTCCTCATAAACAAGATTCGAAATCACAGAACACGATGCAAACTTTCGGTTATCAACAGCGCATGAGCGTCGGTGTGGAGCATGGGCTGGGCGCTTACAAACATAAACCCAGCAAAAAGAAAAAGAAGAAATGGAATCAACTGCATAACGTTTTTCAGCAAAAAGGGAGAAATCCTCAAGGATCGGTAGATAAAAACGGAGGGAATTTTAACATGAATCCTCAAACAAACTTAAGACCGCAGCAAGCTGCGGCAACCCAGTGGAGAGGTCAGTCGCAAAACCCACCCGCAAATTTCCAAGTTGGAAACCAATTCTTCTGCAGCAGCGGACCAACAGTTGGGCAAGATCAAGGACCAAGGCCACAAAATATAGTTTCAGGAAATTTTTTGGGAAATTTCTCTCAACAGCCTCCACCATTACCAAACTTCAATGTTCCTCCACCAAATATGTCACCTATGGAATTTTTTCGCAAAGTTCCACCACCTAATCTCCGTCAGCAGACTCACCCAATGATTCCTCAGCAGCTACAGCCAAGTCCTCTTATAGCACCACCTCAGCCAGTACCTCCGCCACCCCTTCAAAATAATCAATCGCAGTTCTTTCCACCCAGTCAACCAACCCCTCCCTACTCTCGGCTTCCACCCCCGCCACCTTTCCAAGCCAATGTAACGACTCCACCACCAACACAGTTTTCACACTCCAACCCTAACCCTATTCAACAGCAGTTTCCTCAGAGCATGCAGGCTGGTTTCCCACCACAGCAGAATCAGTTCCAGTTCAATACACCCCCGCCAAACCTCGGCATCACGGCTGCGCAACAGGGGAATTCGGTTGGAATTGTTACAGGTTCTCTTCAGCGGCAGAGTGGTCCAATGGAAAGTGTGTCGCACCCCGAAGTAGGGTCGCTCTCTGTTCAAACTGGAGCCGTGACAACATCGATGTCAGAGACCTTTGAAAGCAGAGAGGGCTTTCCTTCAGATTCAGAGCCTTGCACACCATCACCTGTGAAACACAAACCACCAGACCATTTCCCTCCGCATTGGAAATCAGCCACCGATAGCCAAGGCAAAGTCTACTACTATCAAGCCCTGACAAGGTGAGGAATATCAAGGCTGTAGCCAGACTTCAGGACAAGACGAGGCAATTTTCGAGTGCCGAAGGCGCATCG